CCGGCCTCCATCTCTCCACCAAAGCGCATATTAAACTATGATCCACCTTCATACGGGCAATGTGCTCTACCCCCAAGAACCCAGCATATGCTAACATATTTATTACTCTTTCATCTCCGAATGCCCTGGGCGCGGAATGTTTTGGTCCATTTGAAATTCCTAAAATAAGTAGTTATAAATTACTAAATTCGAAATTGAACTCTAAATCTAAATTGAACAAATTTATAAATTCATAGGTTTTGAACTCAAATTCTAAATCTAACACAATTTCTAAATTTCTTGATTTTTATAGCTAAGTTCAACTCTAAAATTCCAATTTCACAATGTAGAGTAAAATTCTAAATTGACAATCTAAAATTAAAATCTTAAAAGTTACCAAAATAACAAGTAATTTCGAAATTCGAAATAACTATAATTGCGAAATTAAAATCTTAAATTCGACTATTTAAATTTAACACAATTTCTAAACATCTACAATTTCAACTATTATAAATAATAAAAAAGTTAAAATTAAAGTCTAAAATTCCAATTTCACAATGTAAATTAAAAAATTTACAAATTACTAAATTAACTACTTCTACACTGCTAAAACCGAAAATTACACAATGTCATTTCACAATGCAAAGTGTATAGGAAGTTCTAATTTCCTAAAAATTACACAATTAAACTACTTTCACAATTTTAACTAACCTGGAAATTTGGCTGATCCGAAAGGTTTGATTTGGTAGGGGGTGCTCTTGCTTGGGATTGATAAAGTTGGGATTGAGTAATGATGGAGCCGGGTAGAATCTATTTATAAAAAATAAAAAAATACTCCTGTCGGATTTAGGAGTTCCGACAGCAGGAGGGCTCTACAAGGACCGTGGGATGGTGATCCGCGCTATTCTTCTTTTATTTGGAATCGTCGGATATTCTTTTGTGTTTGTTTCGGATAGTCCTTTTGTGTTTGTTTAGTTTAATTAGGTAGGTAGGACTATAGGACTATTCAATTTTGTGCTCCCACCCGGGATAGCTTAATGAATTTTGGGTCAGATTTTTGTGCATATATGGTTCAACAGAATTTTGTACAGGAGATATTTATTTGATTATATTTTATCTAATTAGTTTTATCTGATTATATTTATTTGATTAAATTTTATCTGATTATATTTATGTGATAAAATATAATCAGATAAATGGCACTTTTTAAATTCATTTTTTTTTTAAATTTCACTCTCCAAATCTAATCCTGCATCAATTAATGGCACTTTATTAATCAACTGATGCACTTTAAAACCAACCATTTTCACTTTTCACATTTCACACATAAATTATCCAAAATCAACCAACAATCCACATACCAACAATCCACATTCCACAAAATTCAAATCGGCTTACGCCCAAGTTTATTTGTTACATCCACTCTATCAATGTCAATAAAACGCCACAAAATAATTAACTGTCTCCAAATAACATAAAATCGATCTGTCACTTTTTCTTATGTTTTGGATAGACACTTGCTATTTTCACCGCACCTGCAGACATACAACACATGTTCATATTCAAGATTACAACTTCGCCCTCACACATATAATAAATTTCTTTCATTTATTTCATACCATCACACATGCACCTTGAAAGATAACAGAATGCACTTCCACATAAAATTATTAAGGTCATCCACAAACTGCACTATAATGTCAGATAACATTCAACGATACACATATTTTTCATAAAGAACAAAATTTTGTACACGATCATATTCACATTCAATCAAATGCATTTATAAACACTAAAGCAAGTTCACTATCAATCAGCACTATCCTCTTCAGAGATGCTGGGTGAGCTACGCCTCTATCACACCGCCTCTCTCAAGAACTATCAACAGACTTTTGGAACCCTAATGCTTTGAACGACTGACTCATTTGGACTCATTATGTTTGGCATCACATCGGCCTTGGAGTTTATCGCGCAGCTGGATCGAGTCGGCCCACTACAAATCCGACTTTATCGTTTTATTTCTATTGGCTTGTTTACTTTTCTTTCTTTAGCCTTTTTACTTCTTGTTTTTACTCTTTGTATTTATTGCTCATTTAATAAATCAGGTAAATGTTCCCCGACATTTGCCCTACCATATCTGGTGACTTTTTCGGGATTAAAAAAAATCATTCACCATACGACATCTTCCAACACAACATTATTTTAACACCAACACAATCACACCGAACCAAATGCACTTATTAAACAATTAAAATACTTCATCACCATACTGCACTATATGTTTTCTAAAAATGCACCCTACTTCATCATTTTGAATACATACTAAAAAGTGCATAACCAAATGCATTCATATCTACATACACACTAAAAAGTGCACATTTGAAACACCAACACATTCACACTCAGCCAAATGGAGTTATTAAACTACTTACAACATTCATCACCAATCTGCACTACATGTTCAGATTTTAAAGCTTAAAGGCCTTGGACAATAATTAACAACTCTAATACAACATGCACAATATGCACTATACAACATCACCAATCTGCACTCTTCCACGACCTACACTCCACTAAAGTATTCACCAATCTGCACTAAAGGTTTACCTACCGTGCACCCAATCGAAATATTTTTCCATCCACAAATCCAATTTCAAGATAAGCACAATTTAACTTAATGAAATGCACTTTCTGAACACTTTACCCTGTTCAAATCTGACAATTTTTTATCACTACTAATGTACTGCTCCCACATTGCACACACACATCAACTCCTTTGCCACTAATCGACCCTTCAACTCCACCAAAGAATCCAACATTCCCGCAACATTATCCGATATTTCATTATATTCTATTCATCTTGTGTTCTTTTACAAAAAGTTGTAAAAAATTCACACCCACACCAAACAATAATCAAAGCACAATACAGAGTACAATCTTTTTCATTGTCGTTTTCATCCATGAAAAGATATCATACAAGCTTATACTCTTATTCATACACCAACTGCACATTCGCCGAGTAATTCAATGAGTGCAGAGTACCTACGTTATAAGCCATTGTTCGATTTTCCAGCCATCGCATTTTCTTCTTCAACCGACACCATGCTCTTCACTCTGTGCTTCCTTCTTCCTATTCCCGTTCTGCACTTTCGTCTTCGATAGTGATGAGGATACTGAAGAATAATGAAAGCACTTTCCTACTTTAGCCGCTGAGAATTAATTGGAGAGGGGAATGGCGTGGTTCTCGGTATAATCTCAATTACTTCGTACATGACTTCAGTTAAACTTTGATATGAAATCTGAATGACAATTGTACCCTCCATTATGCGTTTCCTAACCTGCGATTGATTAATTAAGGAAAAAATCTGGTGAGATTTAGTGCACCATATTACCTACCGAAGACTAGGGGTGGGCATGGGTCGGGACGGTTCGGGATTAGGGTTATCCCGGTCCCGTCCCAATTAATAATAACGGAACGGGACGGTACGGGACAAGCCTTTGTCCTAGTCTTGTCCCATTTAAATCGGGACCGGGATGGTTCGGAACGGTTCGAGACGTCCCAAACTAACAAAAAATAATCATTTGTAATTAATATATATTAGCATTTCTAAAGTATCATGCACCAAAATACGAACATTTTAAAAGTTAATTGATGTTCATCACAAGCTAAAAGCTACTACGTATTAGATTTTAGTTAGGTTTAGCAAAATTTGAAATTTAAATTTAAAACAAAGCAAAAATGAATTAGTTTATTCAAAATCATGTGTTGTAGCTGTGAGATACTCATATGTAGATATATAAAGTGGGATAAAAATCTATGTTAGTAAATATTCATGTTAGGTATTATTTTTAATTTAAAAATTGGGCTTGAAGAACTAAAAACATGTTACCATTTATTTTTTGAGTTGACATTACACACTAGTCACATGCTACAAAATCTATATAGTTATTACAAACGGGACAACGGGACGGTTCGGGATAACCTTCCAATGTCCCGGTCCCGTCCCGTTTTAAACCGGTACGGGACCGGTGCGGGACAAAATCAATGAGACCCAAACGGAACGGGACAACACCGGTACGGTTTCGGGATATACCGGAATGGGACAACGGGACCGGGATTCTTGCCCGCCCCTACCGAAGACGCTGCCATGTGTGTCAGTACGATTACTTGAAATATGTGATCACGGAAAAAATCTGGTGAGATTTATGTGAAAATAGCTAAAGACAAGGGGAGCTATATCCAAATTCACATAGGCCCGCAAAACTCCAGCCTCTCTCAATTTATAACAATTTTTTCCAAATTTCGCAGGGCTATCTAATTTAAGGGAGGCGGAACCACTCTCTCTACAACATAGAAGCTACATAAAAACTGAGGAACGAATTTCAATTTCTAAATTGATTTTTGATTTTCAAATTCATGCAGCATGCGCCGATACTCAACAGGCTTATTCTCCAGGAAAACAACCCAAGATGACCCTGATTCCGGCTTACTCAGACGCCTCTGACAGCTTTGATCACTCTGACGACTCATTTTTCTCAGATGACTTTCTGGGACACGCAACAGAAAGTGATCGTCGTCCTCCTATTTCAAATGAGGAAGATATTAGGAATTCCAAATTTAACAGTGCGATCTGCCGCAAAGCTGAGTTCATTACCTCGGAGAATTGTCTGCCTACAGACGACTTGAACACACAACTAAAAATTTACAAGAAGTCTCAGAAGAATAAAAGGCGCCATAGCACGAAGACTCGATCTCAGTCCAAAAAATTCCCTTGGGTCTAGTTTATTTTTATTTTTATCTTTTCTGTACTTTTGTTTTTCTTCTTCTTCTTCTCGCATTGTACTATTTTTTTCTTTTTAATAAAATTCATTTAAATATATATATATATATATATATATATATATATATATATATATATATATATATATATATATATATATATATATATATATATATATATATTTACACACACACAAATACAAGAGGCATATGATATGTCAATTATTAAATCAAGCGACCACCCGATTCAGGTTCATCTGCAGTGGATACTGCTGCTCCTAGACCTATTTCAGTTCGTACTCGAGCAGTTAGACCTTCCAATTCTTCAACTCAAACAACTGGATTTGGAGTATTTATGGATCTCAACACTGGAATGCAAACACTCAATGTAATACTCTTTCAAATCCCTTACCAATGTATGTTTCTAATAATGTATGTTTATGAGCTATTAACCACATTTTATTCATTTATGCAGCCAGGTATGTCAAGTGAAATTGTCATATCACTAGGGTCAGCCCTATTGGAGCCAACAATATGTGATGATCCTGATGCGGAAACAAGGTTTCCAATCCCTAATGAAAAGGCTTTGAGGAAGAAAAAAGCCAAACAACCAACTGGGGCGCCTTTCCAATCACCATTTCAGGCTCCAAGAATGCAATTTAGGGAAAGACCTTCACTAATTGGAAAGCATTTACAACAACACAGAGACAAGAAAGTTGCACAGTTGATGAATAGTCCTAAGATCTAGATTGAATAGTTTAGAGTTGAAGTACTATGTAATCTTATTTTGCATATGGGATCAAAACTCCTTTTGGCCATTGCTTTTGCTATGTTTTTTTGTTAGGGTCCCGTTGTTATGCCATCAACTTAGTATATTGAAGTTATTGTATTCATTTTCTGCTACTTCCACCCTTTTCTCTTCAAAATACTGTATTTAATATTTTTCTATCTCTACATCTCTATAAGCATGAATTATGTCAGGGGTATAATGGGAATGTAAAAAATGTTGGTGTCTCTTTAGGCATTAACATCTTATGTCAAAAAACATAAGATGTTTTGACATAGCATTATCTTCTATCAAGGAATTAATATGGGGTTTTGACATTTTTTACTAAAAAATATATTATGGACAAAAAAACATTTTTTTACTTTCTACAAATGTGACTAAAAAGCATTTACTTTATTAAATTACCCTTCTAATTGTGACGCAATGTTATTAGCTTCTAGCACCGCATAATGTTTCTGGAGCAATAGCGAAGCCGTAATAAGTAACAATGCATTCCATAACAATTAAGCCCCAACAATGAATGCTTCTTTGATTTTAATTTTATTTCAGTTTTTTAAAATACTTAAATACTTAAATTACACTAAAATTTGTGTCAAAATTAAAAATGGCTTTTGGCAAAGTGAAATATGTGTGATACTGTGATTAACTATCAGTGACTATCGACTAGGGACATGTTGCCTTAGTAAGAGCATCTCCAATGGTAAAATGTGCACGGTGCACATGTGACATGAGAAACAACCACATAAATATTAGCAAATAAATTATATCTTTCCTTATTTGAATGATTTTATACAATTTTGGTATGTTTTTCCCTGCAATGTCAACTGCAATGTCAATATCTAGACGGTCTCCTTGACATTGTGGAGAAAAACTTACCAGAAATGTAGAAAATCATTCAAATAAGGAGAGAAAGAATTTATTTATTAATATTTATGTGGTTATCTCTTATGCCACATGTGCACGTCTACCATTGGAAATGCTCTAACTACTCCCTCTGTCCCATTTATATTGTCACGTTTTACCTTTTCGGGAAGTCCCACTTAAATTGTCTCATACCATATTTGGCAAAGTTTGTGTGGTTCTAAATCATTCTTACTTTATTCTTACTTTATCAATTAATATCAACCATACAAACTCACTTTTCTTAATAACCGTGTCACCCTCTTCCGTCCCAATATAATAAATGGGACGGAGGTAGTAATTTATAGTGACCACCGTTTCAATGACTATCATATCGCTCCAGCTACTACTGCTCCAGTAACTCCCGTGTCAGTTATTATCGCTTCGGTTACCATTGTCCCAATTACTACCGTTACAGTAATCACCGTCCTAGTTACTACCGCTCTTATGGTAATTACTACCACCGGTCAGTGACCAATGGCATAGTGACGTATTAATAGTTACCAATGTTACAGTGACCAATCCTATAGTGACTAACTTTACAACTATATTCATAGAAATTACCCCAAATAGGACTAAAACTATGATAAAAACTCAAAATAGGACTTACTATGTTTTCATTCCAAAATAGGACCATATTAGTCCTATTGGAAACATACCTATTTTTTCATTCCATTCTTATCCCTCCTTTAAATATGAGTAAAGATAGTTAAAAGTCATAATTAAATGTTTAATTCATAATAAATTCGAAAAAAATTCAAAAATTCGTAGAAAAATAATTAAAAAATTAATAAAATATTTATAAAAAAATTATTTTTTAAAAAAATTAATTTTTAAGAAATTAAAAAAAATAGTAAAACTCCATAAAAACGATTAAAAAATATGGATGCCTTTCCCACCGCCTGTACTATCTCCCTGCACCACCACCTCCGACCAGTGTAAAAAATGCCATTTTTTTTTCTGAAAATGCCAAAAATATGGCATATTACTCTTTGAGAATGCCAATATTTAAGAAATTAAAAAAAAATAGTACTGCCTCCCTGCACCACCACCTCCAACCGGTGAAAAAAAATGTCATTTTTTCTAAAAACTGCCATTTTTTAAAATGCCAAAAATGGCATATTTTTCTTTGAGAATGCCAACATTTTCATTTTTTCTACCAAAATATGGCATTCGTAATGAATTTGGCATTTTTCCCCTGATGACTAGAGGTGGTGGTGCTAAGGTGGCAGAGACGGCGGGAATTTTTTTGCATTTTTTTTAATTTTTTTAATTTTTTAAAATTATTATTATTTAAATATTTTTTATTAAATTTTTAGTATCTTTTACGAATTTTTATTATTTTTTATTATTTTATTATGAATTAAAACATTTCAATAGCTATAAGGGTATATTTGTCCAAGACACACATAGTTAGTCCTATGAAAACATATTTTATTTTTTGATCCTATTTGTGCAAAGTGAGTGACTTTTAGTCCTGTTTTGATAATTAATTCATTATTCATATACATTGACAGTTACATGTCTACAATGACAATTACATGTTACAGTGATAATTGCATATATAGTTACATGTCTAAAGTGACGGTTACATGTCTGTCCACCCATCCAACGATCAACGTATGCCCGTCCACTGACTAACGCCCACCTATCCACTGACCTCTGTCGCGCCGCTAGTGACTAAACCCTCAGCCCAGTGACGAAACCGCTAGTCATTCACTCATTCTAATTATTTTGATAGAGAAAATAATTACAAGCACTACCTGAGAGAAGAAATAGAAAGAAACTAAAAATTTAATAACGGTTCTCTGAAGGTTAATAAATTCAAATTAGAGAGGTTAAGAAAAATTAGAGCTGGTTAACTCGATTTGCTATCGTGTTTGAGTAGCCTTCGTAATCTCTTCATTACATCTCATGGATTTGTTAGAAGAACCAAAGTATACTCCTTTTCCTTTAGTGGTGAACTAACCGCGGTTTGCATACCTAATCATGAGGAAAAAATTGTGTGATTAGTGCACCATTAGAGGAAGAGTAGTTTACTGATTACTATGAAAATCATTTCTAGGTACAAATTAAATATCCTCTACATTAACAATATAGTCAACTACACATTTTTTTATCCTTAATTTTGGTCATTGACGGGATAAATTGTGAAATTAATTGATGGGAATAAAGTAATGATTCTTGTGAAATGTCAAACAAAATCATTACTTCATTTCCGTCAATGAATTTCATAATTTATCCCGTGAATAGCCGAAATTACGGACAATGATAAGGAATTTTTTGAAAAGTTTAATAATCACTTGGAGTATTCAACAAAGTAATATTAAGAATTCATAATTCAAAACATGATAAGGAATTTTTTGCAAAGTTTTTTCCTTTTTCTACTAAACTACTACTCCCTCCGTCCCAGGGAGAAGTTCCCGGGTTGACTTTCACACATTTTTAGGAAGTAAAGTTACTGAGGGGTAAATTTTACTGTTTTGCACTGTTTCGACACTGTTTGGCACTGTTTCGACACTGTTTGGCACTGTTTGGCACTGTTTTAATGTAGGATAACTTTCCATTTAGGGAAATGGGAAGTTTCTTTTGGGACATCCAAATAAGGAAATTGGGAACTTCTCCCCGGGACGGAGGGAGTATTAAATTAGAGCAACTTTTGCGGACAAAACAGAACAAGTTCATACAAATAATACAATGATTGTAATAAAATGTCATATAATACGTATAACGTACGGTGTCAGTGACGGGCCTAAAACTTTTCTCAAACGGAACATTACTGTATGGATGGAGACGGGTCGGGTCGGGTGTGAGACTAATCTATTCAATGTGTAGACAAATTTTTTAAACAAAAAAGTTATATAATGTCAGTTTTAAATAATTTACATCTATGTACAACAGGTCTAGTTTTCAACCTATTGATACAATTCTAAATAATAATATTCACCTTTTGAAAGAAAAACATAATACTTCATATGAATTAGAACTGAATCATCTCGGCACCATTTCCGGTTTTGGATTAGAATTTAAGGTGTTTTTGTGCTACAAATGGTCAGAATTTTGATTAAGAACTAGCTAGGATAGTGTCTAACGTTACACGTCGTGCCATAGAATTACAGTGTCCAAAATTTCTTCATCAACTTGGGATTAACTTGTGAACTCTAACATGGAACTCCCTGCCAAGCTAAACTACTTTAATTTCTTGATTCAATCATTTCATGTTTGTTACTACTACACCCTTTTCTAATATTGTGTAACTCTCTTATGGTATCATGTTGTTTTTGTCGGAATACACCCTTTATTTTACAAGAGGGTCTCAATATTTTAGTAACATAACCATGGACAAATATCCAGAGAAAGTATCCACAAACTTCTCTTTTTGTGCAATAGCCACAACTAATTGTAATTGGTAAAAGCACAATGAATATAGCTTGTGTATGGAATTTCATTTAAGATATTTTTAAATCTATTAAGCTCACCACACATATTAGAAGTCTCATCATAACTCCGTAGTCATTTAAATGTGTTATAACAATATAATTTACATATGCTCTTTGACATAATAATTATATATCTAATAGTCATAGTTTTATATCAGGAAGCGGGGGTGCTGATTTTATCATAAGTACTAATACTGAATTTCGGGGTCGAAAGTGGGGGACCTTGCCCTTGGGCCCCCTAGGTCCTCCACGGTACGTGGGTGTGTTTTGTGTGTGTACATACAGGGGTATATTATACATATGTGGTATTCAATTACAAAGTAGTGTTCCCACGAAAAGTAAGGATAAATACTGGCCTTTAATCACATGAAAACGAATGAATTGAATGAATTTTTAATCAAAGTACACAGTGGCAAAATAATGTGCAAATGTTCATAATACAATATGGACCCTTAATGCATAAAGGTGGACTCATAAATGTTAAAAATGCTTTTAATTTTTTATAACTTATGTATATTTTGTTTTGTATTTTGATACACTTTTGTGTTTTGAAGATTTACACTTTTTGTATATATGATACACATGTAATATGTATATTCATTTAAATGTTATTCCTAATTACCATAACAACATCATATTTAATTTGTTACTTAAAACTTGATCTCTTCCATAATCCATTTTTCTGGCCCACAACCAACATGAATTTTTATACTTCACCTTGGAAGCATTTTTATACTCGTATATGAACAAAATTCTACTATGTATGTATGTATCTACTATGTACGTAGTATATACCATACTCCGTATATACACACATTGCGCCCTATAATTTCACCAAGAAAAACAATTAATATATGGTACGTAATAAGTTGCATATTCCTCCATAACAATGACGTTACAACAAACACACAAGACACAAGTGAAATAGTATATGTAGGATCAAGAACCAAAGCCCACAACTTTGAAACTAGACTGAAGACGACCTTATAAGAACAAAAAAGAAAGACGTACACTAAAATTTAGGACAAAAAAAGATATCCAGGCATAATTATCATACAGTACAGTACGAGCGAAATACATATGATGACTCGATCTGGTTGTGTAATAATCCCTCAAATTCCATATATAGCATGCATGAGGTGGTTATGGATCACATATTGATAGTTGTTCGGTTGTGTGTTTAAAGATGGATCGTCGATCAAGAGTCGTAATACCAAGAAACGGCCACCGGACTTTGAACCGTGGTCTTTCCATCGCTAGAGACCCACTTGATAACTCCGAAAACATTGGTATTTTTTGGTGGTGGTTTGTTGTTAGAGATGAACGTTACGTTGTACGATTTCTTATCCTTTTTCCCGTTGAAACTTAGGATCTCTGGCTCAACGGAGATGCTGACGAAGGAGGAGGTTGGTAAGCTAACAGAGACTTTGTAGGACTCGACAGTGTCTCTTACGTTGGTCAGTGTTCTGACGTGCGTGACTGCTGGCTGCTGGATGACGGCGGCTCCCTTATGTAAAGCAAAAAAAATGGCAAATGAAGGGTAGTTCAAATGAGTGACACTATAAATCTTGCTGGGATCACATGTGAGGGATTTGTCCCTAGTGAGAGTTTGGAGTTGCTTGGAGGTGTAGTTCAAGGGGCAGAGGAAATGGAGGTAGTCTCTTGTGTTCATGTCATAGACAAGTCCCGGGTTGAGTGCCAGCCCGGGACTGACCATGCCTGCACCAAAATCAAATGGAGTGGCTGGCTTTCTCGTGGCATCGTCAATGATCGTGCCAGCGTTGTCGGGGTATTGCATATAGGCCGTTGTCATGAGAGCGGACCGGATTGCTGCCGGGCTCCATTCCGGGTTGGCTGCTTTGAGCACTGCTGTGATGCCACTGACGTGAGGACAAGACATAGAGGTCCCCGAGTCGATGTTGAAATCGACAATGGGATCGTTTTCTACCTTGGTTTGACTTACCCCGCCGGTCCACGCGGCCAATATATTGACTCCTGGTGCAATCAAATCCGGCTTGAGAATCTCCGGGGTTATAGGATTCGGGCCTCTCGAGCTGAACGATGCGACAACCGGCGATGGTTTCACCCCTAACCTCGTCCCATAGAAGGTCATTGTAGCTGTTGCGGCTTTGGCCGTGTTATTACCATTATTATTACCACTACCAGATGATGATAGCAGGTACTTCTCTATCTGTTTGCCGGTTTCATAATCTACCGCTATTGCTGGCAGTACATGGACATCTGCCACCGGAAACACATCCGTTATCCCGTCTGCCAACACCATTCCTTTTCCACCTACTGCTTTGATCACCTTACCCTTGGCAACCCTGCCATTCTCTCCGCGATTGCAAAATACTATTTTGCCCTGCACCTTTTTTGGATCGAGAGTGCCTTCCAAACAGAAACCCGCGGCGGTGGAGTTGCCGCTGCTGCTGACGTTTCCAGCATGCACGAACGGGAGCATCTCTCCGGCGGGAAGAGTATGGTTGTTATTATAAAATGAAAGGCCCGGATATTTCATCCGGTTTCCGAGACGAAGCTCCACGGGAAAGTCTCGGTCCAAGGTTCCCGCACCAACGGTGGTAATCCACGGGGCCACGTTCGCTACACTGAACATGGCAGGTCCGCTGTTCCCTGCAGAACATGACACCAGGATTCCATTCTCCATTGCTCTGAAGGCTCCGATGGAAACTAAGTCAGCGTAGAATGGTTTACCATCCCCGCCGAGAGACAACGAAAGGACGTTGACGTTGTCTGAAATCGCTGCATCCATCCCAGCCAATATGTCGGCACTTGAGCACACTCCCATCTGAGTCCAGCAGACTTTGTAGACAGCTAGTCTTGCGCACGGGGCCATCCCACGAGCCGAACCCACGGCTAACCCATTAAGGCTGGCGTCGCGGACGAGAGAGCCAGTTGCGGTGGATGATGTGTGGGACCCGTGCCCGTTAAAGTCTCGCGGGGATTGGGACTCTTTCGTCCAGTTAAAACGCGTCCCATTAGTAGCGTTTAGGTATTCAGCCTCAAATCCTTTGGAAAAGAACTTTGCGCCTATGAGCTTGTTGTTGCATAAAGACTGATTCTCGAAACCGCACGTTCCTCTCCATGAACTTGGTTTCGCCGAAGGGTATCCCTCGTCTTTGAAGCTCTTACTCTCCGGCCACACCCCGGTATCCAGCACTCCCACCACCACATCAGTTGACGCCTTTTCACACACCGTGGAGAAGGCGGGGCTGTTTTCTATGCCCAAAAACGACGGCGAACGGGTGGTATGCACATGTAAGATGGTGTCCGCCATCACCGCCAGAACTTCCGGGCGGTCTTCCAGGGCCTTGGCTTCCGTAGCTGTGATCCTGGCCGTGAAACCTTTTATATGTTGGTAGATATACCCCATTTCCGCTTTGGTAGAAACGGATTTGAGGGATGAAGTGTACAACCCTACTTGCTCAGTGATAGCCGCCGCCGGGCCAACTTCTAGTGCGTCGTGGTCCATGAATACAATGTATTTCCGTTCTTCCTCCGGCGTGGCCGCCGCATGACTTGACAAAGGATCGTGAAGCAGGAGCAGCACGAGAAAAAACTGCAATATATCCGGGAAGCGTTTCATTATGTATTAATTATCCGAATCCCGGATAACACAAACTAATAGCTGCGCTAGCTTGGCCGCAAGTATGTGGCCGGGATGCTATGTGAGGAAAACTATGTGTATAATAATTTTATCTCGTCCATCTATGTGTATATATACTGGGCCGGTGGGAGTGGCCTGGTGCGGCCATTTATTCCTTTTGAAACTCGTTCTACTTTTTTACTTTCTCTAAGAGAAATTTCTAAATAGCATTAAAATAAGAATTGTCATTACAAGAGGTTATATTGAACTCAAGGAATTTTATTCGAATACGCTAAAAATTACTCCCTCCGTCTTTTAAAATTTTATCAACTTTTGTTTTTGGTTGTCTCACTAACTTTGTCTCTTGACATACCATTTTTCCATTAAATTATAGTAAGGCTAGAATAGGAAGATAAAATATATGTATAATTTGGAAAGATAAACAACGTACATAGTCCTACTTGTATATTTAGGAAGTAATTTTCTAATATTTAAGAGTACTCTTTTCCTATACAAATAGTTTGGAAACCATAAATTAAATGGGAATGATAGAAAATTATTTTATTTACAACTTCTCAGGTGTTTTCAATTACGTAACACAATTTATATTTACATATTAAAAGATAATCAAAGTGGGGTATGTCAATTAAGTAAGAGTTAAAGCATTTAAAATTAAACGAAGGATACATATATACGACTACCTTGTCTGAGGTAAAGACTCTGTTCAAAGTAAATTATTTTAAATATTTTATTTTATATATCCATATTTTTATGATGTTATAAATTTCTGAATGTAATTTTTGAATATATAGACTTTACTCTCTACTTTTTTTTGATAAAAAAAATAGTCAAGTTAATAAAAGTAATCTAATTATTGATCCAGATTAATTAATAATACTATGACTAGTCAAGTAGAAACTTCTAAACAGGTAGACAACGTAGTATCTCTTCAGTTGTATCGAGTATCGACCCCCAAATCCCAATAGACGGAATCAACAAGCGTAAAAAATATTTTACTCCCCCTCATTTGCAGTGAAATTTAAGAAAACGTGTTTTTTTTCAACTACCTTAATATGAACAAAACATTTTTTTTAAATAGGATCAATTAGTTTAAACGTTCTTAAATAGGACTTTCGTATGTGATTGGACCAAAATATCCCACTGCCCCTGATCGCTGCCAACCACCTGTTGCTGCTAGCGGACAGTTGCCGCCGGAGCTCCGGCCGCTGCCGCCGGAAAACTTCCTGATTTTTTCTGGCGGCCTGTCAACATTCCTGCCGCTGCCGCCACCATGGACTGTCTCACCACCGTCGGACTGCATTGATTGCGCAAGAAACTAGGGGGCAATTATTTAGATCAATTAATTAAATAGAATTAGAGGTTAAAAAGGTAAGATTAGTCCCATTTAGGGAAAACCATACTCCGTAGATCTAGTGCTAATTTGGGAAAAAGCTTATATTTTTAAATAGGATCAATTAGTTTAAACGTTCTTAAATGGGACTTTCGTATGTGATTGGACCAAAATACCCCACTGCCCCTGACCGCTGTCGACCACCTATTGCTGCTGGCGGACAGTTGCCGCCGGAGCTCCGGCCGCTGCCGCCGGAAAACTTCCTGACTTTTTCTGGCGGCCTGTCAACATTCCTGCCACTGCCGCCACCCTAGACTGTCTCACCACTGTCGGACTGCATTGATTGTGCAAGAAACTAGGGGGCAATTATTTAGATCAATTAATTAAATAGAATTAGAGATTAAAAAGGGAAGATTAGTCCCATTTAGGGAAAAACATACTCCGTAGATCTAGTGCTAATTTGGGAAAAAGTTTATATTTTAGTGTATGTTGTGCAATTTTCTCTTTCAAGGTGGGCCCTCTATGTTTTAGGATGTCCATTAGAAAAATACGGAGTAATGTCAACGGTGGTTATTAATCCTGCAATTTATGTGTGTCGGTTATTATGTTAATAGAGAAAATGATCATTCTTGGTGGACATAAGTTATACACAAAATGTGTACATTGTCTGTGTACACAGACAATTTGACATCAAGTACTGCCCCTTTTTAAACGAATTGCCTGTGTACACAGGCAACTAGGGGATTTCATGTACAACTTGTGTACAACTCATGTCACTACAAAAAAACACGCGCGTAGTCACGGATTGCAGTTCACATTTTCCGTGACTAACAAAGTTAGTCACGGTCGCTAGCCGTGACTAAATCCGTGACTTAATGAGCGTGACTAAAAGCAGTCACCGCCACATAACCGTGACTACATTTAGTCACGGGTTAGTCACGGACAATAGCCGTGACTAATAATACGCCGGAAAACCCTCTCCGACGTGTTAGTTACGGTCCACAGCCGTGACTGTTGTATTTTTTTTATTTTTTTATTCGAATACGCTAAAAAAATACCCCCCGTCTCTTAAAACTTGATCAACTTTTCTTTTTCGGTTGTCCCATTAACTTTTTCTCTTAAAATAGATCATTCTATTAAATTACGGTAACGGTAAAATGTGAAGATATATAGAGTAAATGTATACTTTAGTCCTATTTTGGAAAGATGAACATAATCCTACTTGTGTATTTAGGGATTAATTTACTCTTATTTAAGGCTATTTTTCCTATATAAATAATTTGCGGAAACCATAAAATTAAATGGGAATGATAGAAAATTATTTTCTCAGGTTTTTTCAATTAGCTGGGTAACACGATTTATATTTACACATTAAAAGATAATCAAAGTGGGATATTTCAATTAAGTAAGAGTTAAAACATTTAAAATTAAACGAAGGATGTATATATATTATTTTTAATAGAATGTACTACTCCGTACGTAGTAGTACCTTGTCTGAGGTTAAGACTCCGTTCAAAGTAAATTATTTTTTAATATTTTATTTTATATATCCATATTTTCATGATGTTATAAAGTTCTGAATGTAATATATTTTTGGATATGTAAAAGTAATCTAATTATTGATGGAGATTAATAATACTATACTACGAGTCTATGACTAGTCAAATAAAAACTTGTACTCGGACCAACCGAGTACAACTTAATAAAACGTAGAGGAAAAATTCACAAGAATAATCCCACCTTTCACTGGTCTTCTCATAACAATCCCACCGTTAAATAATCCCAAAACAATCTCACATTTGCATCTCATCTTCTTTCATTGGACCCTGACCATGTTTTTTACTCTTTCTTTGAAAATTACACAAATAATCTCACCTTTCACATTTTAATTATATCCTTATAAATGTGAAATTATTTATATAAGATTTTTAAAAAAGGTAAAAAACTTGGTCAGGGTCCAATGAAAGAAGATGGGGTGCAAAGGTGGGATTATTTTTGGATTATTTAAAGGTGGGATTATTATGAGAAGACCAGTGAAAGGTGGGATTATTCTTGTCAATTTTTCCAAACGTAGACAACGTAGTATCTCTTCAGTTGTATCGACCCCCAAATCCCCAATAGACGGAGTCAACCAGCGTAAAAAATACGGAGTAATTCACTTCTGCTTATTTGCAGAGAAAGTGGGTCCTATAGGTTTTAGGATGTTCATTAGAAAAATACTACCTCCGTAACGTAAATATCTTCCCACTTTCCTTTTTTGGACGTAACACTAATATCTTCCCATTTCTAAATCTTCCCATCATACCCTCAATAATTTTAAAAATAATACACTATTACACCTACTTTTTTTGGATTTATCCTTCATTCCATCACATTATTTCACTATCTTCCCATCATACCCCTAATAATACATATCTCCTTTCACTATTCTTAATCTACCTACTTTTCAAATGGGAACATCCCAATGTTACGGAGGTAGTACGTTGTATAATGTCAACATTGAATTGGTTATTACAGTCCTGCAATTTATGTGTGTCCGTTATTAAAAGAGAAAATTGCTCACATCATCACATGCAATTCAATTGATCATATGTTTTGTTTTCAATAAATAAAACTAAACCTATTTTAGTCCTTACAAATATGCTACACTTTGTTTTAGATACTTGCAAAATATTTTCTTTGTTTTCATCCAAGTCTGTGTTATGCGTTATTTTATTTTTAGTCCATCTCTAAATTCTGAAACTACTCTATTAGAAAAAATATTGTCAGTTGCATAGATCTACTAGAAAAATTCAATTTATCATTTTATAACTTTTTAGGCTACTATGGGAGCTAAAACAATACCGAGTATAAAACTAGGTATTCACATTTTTAAAATATGTACGACGTATTAAATATCTTCTAAAATATAATGTTAAATACTTTTTGAAAAACATGACAAAGAATTAGAGAAAATTTATTAGTAAAGGTTATTTCATTGTCGAATAGAGGTTGCTATCATTGGTAATGGACTAAAAAGAAAACTAAATTAAAATTCATGGAAGAAAACAAAAAAGTAATTTTGCAAGGATGTAAAAGAAAATGTGTTATATTTATAGGGACTAAAAATATATTTATACCTATAATTAGTTGCTCACTAATTCTCTTGTCTAACTAAGGCCTGTTTGTTGGTGGGCTGCAAGTAGCAGGTTAGTACGGTAGTAGCGGTAACAACTCCCGCTAGAACTTCAGTCGCAGCAGCATTTTGGCAGCGGCAGATCAGCGGCTGCGAACAGTGAAAAGTTTCTGACAACTGGCGGGCTTCCGGCGACCTGGGGCAGCAGTGCTCCAACCTTATGAGAGCATTTTTGCCCAATCATAAATAAAAAAACGTATTTAGGGAATTTTAAACATTAGATCGTACTTTGAGAAATGACATTGTTTTGATCCTATTTATTCACATTAAATTTTTTCCCCAGTAAAATCGCATCAGAAAAGCCGCAACCAACGTGGAGTTTTCTGCAATTCCGCATTTCCGCCCAACATAGTACAACGTGCCGCTAGAAAATTGAATAATATGAACAAATTTATCAGTCATAAGTATGGGCTCACACGTTTCTGTGGTTTGAAGAAATTTTAAATTTTTTTATCAAAATCACCCAAAGACGGACTTTGGGAAGGAAAGAGAATAGCTAGTACGGGACCTAAAATAAGGAATAGAAGTTCCTTAAACACATGGTGTATTGGGGGGGGTGTGTTCAAAGCATTAGAAGTTGGCCCAAGCCACATACTCAGAGACACGACGTATTGGTCACAAGTTAGACACACGTCATGGTTACGGCCGTAGGCTATGTTTAAAAAACCGACCCGACCCAGCCGGGTTGACCCGGAACCCGGTG